TATCAGGCAGATGCACCATAGCCAAATGCGCGCGAGAGTTTGACAGGTTTTGATAAAAACTGATCATAACTTTACAAGGCACAATTAAAAATATCGACAGGCTAGGAAAATTATCCCCTAAGGAAAAAACTACAACCAGTTATTACAGTCATGCCTTGTGAAGCATAAGGATATTTATCATTATTATTATTATCATTATTATTATTATCATTATTATTATTATTATTGTTGTTGTTGTTGTTTTATTTCCTTTGATTTCTGTTGTATACTCGTTTCATTCCGGCTCCCAACCAGGGACCTAAGGTAAGAAATGACACCATGACATTTTCCACTGAGCAATTTTGTGAAAAAAAAAAGTATGGTCACACACATTTTACATAGATAATGCCCTCCGTAAAATGTGAGTTGTACTTGTGAGTACATTTTTTGCTTTTTTTTAAGCCTTGAACTACTAGGAATTCCTTCAATGAGTTTACTGGTATCTTTTCCACACAATCCGAGTTCTCCAACTACAACTGGGATTACTGATGTCCTCATGTGGCACATGTTTGAGATTTTTATTTCATGGTCTTTGTATTTTGAGAGTTTTTTTTTTTTTGAAGATCTTCAAAGATACATTACCACCTGCAGAGACTGCCATGCCAATAAGAAGGCATATTTTGTCTTTACGCTCGTTAATCACGATGTCTGGGCGATTATCTTTTATTGTAAATCCTCCACTGCTTTAACCAGGTATTGATTTCACACTGTTTGGGTCCTGTCATTGGATCTAACGAACGCCTTTATCTACTGTGCTATGTATGTTTAAGGCGGTGGGGAAATTGGAGAAGGAAATTATCAGGAGATAACTGATAAATGACATCCATTAGACATGGCACGCAGAACTAGAACAGTCTACGCCAGCGAGCGAAATAAAGAGTACAGTTCGACATTCCAACCACCTGAAGGAGGTCGGAGCGTACAAGGGCCGAAACGTTGTGATAAATATGGCAACAAAGATGAGGACGATAGTCCGAACAATGTAAAAAGTGTATATAATACCTCATCCCAGAAATATAGACAGATACTGAAGAAGACTGGAGCGTACAAGAGCCGAAAAGTTGTGATAAATATGGCAATAAAGATGAGGACGATAGTCCGAACCTTGTAAATAGTGTACATAATACCTCATCTCAGAAATATAGACAGATACTGAAGAAGGCCGGAGCGTACAACGGCCGAAACGTTGTGATAAATATGGCAATATAGATGAGGACGATAGTCCGAACAATGTAAATATTGGAAATACAGCTTAGTGGTAAACGGAATAGAAAGTTGTGAAGAACCATGACCACGTATTTTCTGAAAGGACACTGAACATAAATCTTCGCTACCTTTTTCGGTCTGGGTTGATGAAATCCTAAATTCTTTGCGATGTTTCCAGATCAGTTTCCACGTTTTACTAAATAGAGAATCCAAGTCATTTGCACTTTCTCGGGGAACTCGGTTGTGTCAATTTTTGTAGTCATTCTGGGCCAGCTAGCGACATTCAGTAATTATATCATTCAAATTACCATAATTGTCTTTGCAGTTTTTTTCTAAAATTTTGAAATATTTATTTTCGCATAGTTTTCCCGCTGAGTGACGTGCTTTGTTCTCTCTTTAAATTTCCTCTTCATAGACCTGTCCAGGATATTTCATTCGCGATATACTCTCTCACGGCTTGCCATTTCACACAAGATGTCTAGTGTTATCGCTCCTGGGTAAGACGATAAACTACATCCGCGTCCTGGGTAAGACGATAAACCTACATCCGCGTTCTGGGTAAGACGATAAACTACATCCATCAGCAAGGCCTCTGATCAGGAGGTTTTGAGGAGCGTGGAACCATCTCTTAGTTGCTGGCGTTCCCAGGTCCACACTGACCCAGAGTGGTAGCACTTTTTAGGGTCCCAGCTATGGGTAAATAGTTGACACCCAAACTTGTGGAAAAATAGGTTTTAATACAGGAAATATTTTGTAATAAAAAACATATTATTACCAGGAATAATTATTGAAGGAAAAATTATTATCAGCGATAATTTAAAAAGAAAATACGAGCAAAACAAACAGCTATATATTCTTTGAAAAAAATATTACCAGCTATTGATTTTTTCAAGGAAAAATATTCCCAGAAATAGATTTTTGAAAAAAAACGAAAAGAAAACATATTATCTGTTTGTATTCCTGAGTTGAGGCATTATGTACATTATTTACATTATTCAGACTATTGTCCTCAGCACCATTTCACAAAGTAAAGAAAGTGTAGATAGGTCAAGATCACTATTTAGAATTACCTAACAACGGCCTTGACCACAATTTATTAGGAAACGTGTGGACTTTACATGGAGTATGAGGTTCCAAAGAAACAGTCAGCCACAAAGCTATTGTGGACGCTATCAAGGACGTCTGGTTAAATGGGATTTTCAGTCATATAAACCGTGCACGTCGTAGTGAACGGTTTATCAAGGCGAAACACCAACATACTAATTTATATGGAAATTAATCGACAATAAACTTGTAATAAATTTAATGAAGAGAGTACAGCTTTAAAATTTTTTATGTTATTAAGATTTTTTTGTTTATTTTTGTTAAAAAAATATTCAGTGGTGGGGCGGCCTTAAACTTTTGTCCAGAACTATACGTTCTGGGTAAGACGATAAACTACATCCAGCATCAAGGCCTCTTTTAAGGAGATTTAGGCGAGCATGGAATCACCTCTTAATTGTTGGTGTTTCATGTCCACCCTGACTCGGAGTACTAGCACCTGTTAGGTTTCCAGCTATGGGGTAAAAAATGGGGTTAAAACACTATGAAAGTGGAAAATAGGTTTTAATACCAGCAATGCATTTTTTATAAAAGGTTATTACCAACAATGATTTTTTGTAGAAAAAAAATATTACCAGTAATACATTTTTGACAAAGAAATATTACCAGCTCTAAAAATCTTGTCAGCAGTAACTAACCCACTGAGGTGTTGATATGCCGTAAACCAAACCAAGCCAAAACAAACCAGAACTATAATTTTTTGATAAGTGGAATATTAATAATTTTTACTCGTCGTAAGCACTGGTTTAGCCTGAGTGGGGTTTCCCCACTAATAGGCACTACCTCTCCTTCAGGTGGGGGCTGGAAGCAATTTGAGCCGGTGGCCGAAACTACTTCTAGTGCAGCCTATTAAATGTTCAGTTTCCTTATCTCCTACGCTAAATCTGGTTATAACTGACCGTGGTATTTGAAAGGTTTAGCATTTACTAATTCCACATACTTAAGAAGGCGTCACTCGAAATTATATCCGAGTCAGCGACATCCCATTGCAGATTCATAACTGGATTTAGCATGTCTGATACCATATGTACCTCAGAGGAAGGTCATGAAATCAAGTGTGTGGGTTCCTTCCTGCCAAGCTGAGGTCCACCGTAAACAAATTCACACCATAGGCTTTTTCTTCTAATTTCATTTTCTTTCACCTCGAACTAAATATTGCAAAGAAAAACGGCGATGGGTGATGGAAGCAGGTATTGGTGAAAGTGGAAGCTTCTAATTCATAACCTGTACGTTGGCGGCGAATTTAGTCATAAACGCCACCATCGTAAAGGAAGTGATCAGCAAAGAAGATAGTAAATTCTTGGATGTGAGATAAAGCCGACGACCGACCATTTCTACATCCTGAATTTTTAATATGGATTCAGAATATGCGCCATCACAGTTTTAATTCCAATTCCATATCATAGTTTTTATTTTGGAAGGATTTATCTTCAGTCCCAATTTCTTTGAACAGCTAGCAGAGCATACTGATTTTTTATTCTGTAGGCTTGCAGATTCGTGCATTAACCCAATTAAAGTTTGCGTTTGCCCTTAGACATAAAGCTGACCATTCTTTGCGTATGGATCTGGCAAAATTCCGACAAATATTTGTGTATAGTCTCAGGTACAACCTAGTGTAATCTTGGGATTGCCCGAAGTAACACAATTCCCCATGTATAATACGCATTTTTTCCAAAAAAAAGTAATAAGCAAAATTAGGGGTGTGTTTTTCTTTTTTAAATTATCGATTTACAGGTCGATTTCAGTTGCGAAATGACTACTCCCTACAAACATATGACAATTTAACACTAACATTCGGTGATTGCGACCCCATAAAGATGTCAAATACAATCATATGTACCTAACAATACTTACAAATGTAAAATAAAATAGGAATTATCATAAAGCTAAATTAGAATAATATTATTCTATGTTTAAAACCATTTATAGATGAGAGTAGCAGACGCTGGCCGTAATGAAATTGAAGAGTTATAATTTATAGGTTTTGATTGCTAGACAGGGGGTGCGTATTATGCGTGAGCAGAAGCATTTCCCCACATTTTCAGCACAACTTTAGGGGTGCGGATTATGGATGGATGCGTATTATACATGGGGAATTACGGTAATATAATTCGAAATGTTGATAGATTATCTTCACTTGCTTTCCTCATAGAGCGTGTAGTCATCCGTTGGATGTATAGCCTGATGCATAGCTATTGGTTTTCTCTTTCTTTGCTTTAAATCTTTCAGTCCTTTGACGGCCCAGTTTAAGAAGGGTCCTAAGTATATCTCTTCGGATTCTTCTTCATAAATATATTTTCATTCTAAATCGCTTGTCTATTCTCATATGTTCTTTCTTTTTCTCATTCTTCATACCAGTTAGTTTCATAGTTTTTTTTTGTTTTTTTTTCGTTAATCTCATTCCTACTGATTTAATATATTCTTTTCTTTTCGGCTTCCTATTAGAGTTGCTTGATCGTTTGCTTTTTAATTTTTCGTTTCTTCTTTCGAGCCTCCATCTTTGTTTTCATTGTCAATCCTTCTTTTAAATTAATGATTTGAATTTTCTTTGCTAAGAAGTTAAATTGCCTGTTGTTCAAACCACTCTTTTTTTCATTCACTTTTTTCGTTCATTCATTCTTTCTTTCTTTCATTCAATTTTCGTCGCTACGAAGTTAAATTGTCTCTTTTTCAAGCCACTGTTTCTTTCATTCATTCTTACTTTCTTCTTTCTTTCTTTTTTCTTTCTTTTTTCTTTAATTACTTCTTCCTTTCTTTAATTCTTACTTCATTCAATGCTCAATTTTTTTTCTTCGTTCGTTCCTTTACAAATTCACTTATAATGTCTTCTTTTTTCTTTCTTTCTTTCTTTCTTTCTTTCTAGACTTTAGTTGTTTCGGCCTTTCCATTTGTCAAGTTCACATATTTTTTCATTCTTTCTTTTTTTTTCAAATCATTATTCTCAGTCTTTCCTTTCTTCACCGAGAAAACTGCATTGACCATCTTTCTTTCCATCCTAATCTTTTGCTTTCTCCTCTAAAAACCTCTAAACATTTACTTCTTCTTTTCATTCTATCCACTTCTCTTTCCTTTCCTTCTTTCTTCATTAATTTGTTTATTTTGTAGGCTTTCGTTTCTTTCTCAACAAACTGTTTAAACCGTTCTTTCAGGTTTTCTTACGTTTTTTTCACTTTCTTTCTTTCTCTCTTTCTTTCATGTTTTCTTGACTTTCTTCTGTCTTTCTTTCTTTCTTTCTTTCTTTATGATTTTCTTACCCTTTCTTCTTTATTTATTTCTTTCTTTTTTCTTTCTTCCTTCAAGGTTTCTTAGCCTTTCTTTATTTCCCTTTTCTTGCCCTTTCCTTCTTTATTTTTCTTTCTTTTTTCAGGTTTTCTTGTCCTTTAATATTTCTTTTTTCTTTTCTCTTTCTATATTTTCTCTTGTTTTTTTTAGGGTTCTCTTGATTCTTCTTCTTTCTTTCTTTCAGGTTTTCTTCTCATTTCTTTCTTTCTTTCTTTTTTTTCTTTCAGTCAGTCAGTCAAGTTTACTTACCCTTTCTTTCTTTCTTTCTTTCTTTTTTCTTCTTTCTATCTTTTAGGTTTTCTTGGTCTCTCTTCTTTCTTTTTTAATTCTTTTCATGTTTTCTTCTTTCTTTCTTTCTTTTGTAGGCTTTAGTTGCTGCCTCTGTAAATGTAAACCTTTTTACATTCGTATTAGTTTTGTTGCCTTTCTTTCTTTCTTTCTTTCTTTCTTTCTTTCTTTTTGTGTTTGTTTATCGGTTTTTGTTTCTATCTTTATTTTTCCATATTTTCTTTATCTCCATTTTATTTGTCGTTTTCTTTTTCTTTCTTTCTGTGCTTTCGTTTCTTGCTCGACAAACTGGCTAAACATTATTCTTTTATTCGTTTATTCCTCTTCAAAATCTAAAAGTCTTCGTTCTTTCTTTTCCCGCTTCTTTTCTTTTCTTTTCTTTCCTGTCTTCGGTCTTGACTCGTTCACATGTTACGACTTTCATTCATTTGGAAAATAATCTTCTGCATTATGGGAATGAAAATAAAAAGATTTCAATTCAGCATTCTCTTCAGACTACTATCCTCATCCAGTAGAATCCCTCATATCCGGATTGCCTCATATCCGGAATCGCTTATATCCGGACATGATTTTGATGTGTATATTTGAACTATTTGGGTGATATGTTCTTGAATTTAAATTTCTGGTTTTTAGGTAATTTTACTTTCGATAATTACTTATGCTTATTTCCCCGTAATGACTTGTATTGGTGCAAAGGATTATGGGAATAATGGACAGGATGACAACAAGACACATCTTCAACAAGATAGCGACGAGATGAATGTTTGTGATGAAACCTGGACTGAAATTGAAAAAGCTATTGAAAAGGTTGTTAGTTTTATGGAAAGACAGCTAGCATTCAGCTATGACAATTGCAATAAGGCACACAGAATAAAAAAAAGTGACTTTCGTTTAAAAAATTTCAAGAACAAAAGCAGAACGAAATGCAGAAAAAGTTGGAAATGGCATTAGAAGAGAAAGAATCATGCAACAGCGATTAAAAATTCCTCGTTACATTATTTGTTTTGCATATGTGGCATATTTAATTTAATGAATTTTCATTAACATTACATAATTTATTTCTTTTTCCTTAAAATCAATTCCGTTATATTTCAGTCACCATTAGCTTATTTTGTTTTCTATAAAACAATGAAAATGAATGTTAAACCTGATTTCATTTCTTTTATTTTAGTCTAAATATAATTCCTGATATCCAGCCTATGTAACCAATGCCTCATATCCGGAAGACCTTCTTAGTCCGGTTGTCAGGGATTCTACTGTATGAAGAAACATCAGCGATCAGCTTGTTCATTTTAGTGTCTCTTATATCCGGAATCCCTCATATCCGGACTTTGAGAGCAATGCCTCATATCCGGAAGACCTTCTTAGTCCGGTTGACAGGGATTCTACTGTATGAAGAAACATCAGCGATCAGCTTGTTCATTTTAGTGTCTCTTATATCCGGAATCCCTCATATCCGGACTTTGTAAGCAATGCCTCATATCCGGAAGACCTTCTTAGTCCGGTTGTCAGGGATTCTACTGTATGAAGAAACATCAGCGATCAGCTTGTTCATTTTAGTGTCTCTTATATCCGGAATCCCTCATATCCTGACTTTGTAAGCAATGCCTCATATCCGGAAGACCTTCTTAATCCGGTTGACAGGGATTCTATTGTATGAAGAAACATCAGCGATCAGCTTGTTCATTTTAGTGTCTCTTATATCCGGAATCCCTCATATCCGGACTTTGCAAGCAATGCCTCATATCCGGAAGACCTTCTTAGTCTGGTTGTCAGGGATTCTACTCTCATACGTCTTATTTTCCCGAACATTTCGGTAGACGCATTTTTTGGCCTTCCTCAGCAGATTCGCTTCCTTTTGAATTTGCCTTTTCATCAGATACATTCCGATTCATGAAGACAGTTGCAAATCAGCCGACATGTTAAAATGCTACAGGAATAAACAGAACTATACGATAAAACTTTGTCTTACATGAAAATAATCGGGATCCAAGAAAAATTGTCCTCCAAGTTGAAAGGAGCTAGTTGGAAATTGGAGACTCTTTCTCACGAAATGAATCAGACCGACGCATTTATATCGATTCTAATCTCCAGGTACATAAACATGTACAAATGTTTTCTTTTGTCAACAATGGATGGAGCTTGTAGGTGGGCTTTTAGGAGGGACGACTCCGACGCTTATTGAGCGAAGCTTTTGATGGAATATAAAAAGAACTAAATCCTTCTGGACATAGTAGAAATACATTTTAAATTAATGTTCTTCGATGAGGGGTCCGGGTGGGGGAGGATAAAATTGATTTTCATGTTACTATCTTTTATATGGAACTCGCGGTGAATAGATCATAAAATGGAATTGTCAAGCTGAGTTCAAATACCGGCTAAGACAAAATTTTTATTCGCTTTGAACTAATGCCTTGAGAAATGGATGAATCCTTCTTTTCTCCAGCCATCAGCGATATATATATACAGGACAAATTGAGATTTCTAGCCTTAGTTGATTACCAGTTTAGAAGAAATGCAAGAACAACCAGGCTAATTCATTGTTTAAAAAAATAAAATGTACAGTATTTACATTAGTCGGACTTCTTGTCCTCATCTTTGTCGCCATATTTGTCACAACGTTTCGGCCGTTGTACGATCCAGTGGATTCTTCAGATCCAGTGACAGAACTGAACCCTTTAGTTCAATCGCTGGGGTAAGGCTGTTCTAATTCCACTTGCCATGGAAAATGGATGTCAGTTATCAGATATCTCCTGCTAATTTTCATCTCTCAAACATCTCCACTGCCTTAACCAGGTATTGAACTCCCTTTGGGTCTGTCACTCGAACACAAAGTGGATAAGTTGGTTATTCCAACCACCTGAATCCAAGGTGGAACTAGACGGATCGTACAACGGCCGAAACGTTGTGACAAATATGGCGACAAAGATGAGGATAAT